AACCAAACCAAACCAAAACCGATAATCACCAAACCGATAAATGTATATTATATTTGGTTTGGTTTGGTTTTGATAATTTTAAAACCGATTAAGTTGGTTTGGTTTTGGTTTTGACCAATAACCGATCCAAACCAACCCGTGAACACCCCTATTCATAAGTTATCACATCATTGTAAATAAGAATTAAATTGAACCAAAACACCCTTCGAATATGTTTTGGTCCATAACCGTCCTCCAATTAGTCTCCTTCTAAGGAAAAATTATGTTCATAGTTTAATTAACACTAATTAGTCTCCTAATTAAGATTGATTAGGTCCGTGTAAGCAGGGCATGATTAGACGAAGTTATAAATCAAGGTTATCTTTTTACTATTTTCCATCTATTTAAACTACTTTTTGTGTCTTTATTAAATAATAATGAGTATAATAATATACGATAGCCAAATTTTGGGGTAAAAAGATATTTGTTCTATCGTACTTAAGGGTAAAATACATTATATTCTTAATAATTATGTCATATATTAGTGTCTTAATAAGAAATCTTCCTTAATAATTATGTCATATATTAGTTATTGAATTAAATTCGAAACAAATTACTCTTTGTTCCAATTTATACACTCACTTTTCTTTTTAATCCGTATAAGAATAAAGACACATTTTTATAATTAGTAACAATTTAACTTTAAAATTTCAATTCTATCCTTAATGAAAATAATTGAAAGACACACAAACATCTCAAACTTATTTCATACCATAAAATTTTGATTAACTCCCTAATGATATTTAAAGGGAGACATATTTGATTTACGCCAAAAAAGGAAATAATATTACTCAATACTCCTAAAAAATTTAATTAGAGTATAACTAGGACTCTAATTGTTTTTAATATCTTTTCCTAAATCTTAATTTGAAAGTTTACTTGACCGTGTAAAGAAGTTTTATATATGGACTAGGCACAAAACTTATACTCAAATCAAATTACATCATATAAATTGAAATCAGAGTAATAATTTCCCTATCACCACTCATCCTCCTTTTATATATACATAGCAACAAAACATACCTTTTTAATATATTCTCCTTTTCTCATGGATCTCCCACCACTTTCTCATCAACAAGAAAACAACAACAAGAATAATAATCTCTTGTTCAAATTTGTAAAGAAATATATGTATCATGTATTATTTTTTCTATTTTTATTCTTTTCTTCTATTCTTTTCTACAATTTACTAAGCCCACTTTATCATGACCCTCTTGTAATTAACAATATTGGTTTTTTTTCCAAAAATTCTACTTGTGATTACTCTTATGGAAAGTGGATTTGGGATGAAAGTTATATTGTTGATCAATATGATGAGAATTGTCCTTTCTTGGATCCCGGTTTCCGGTGCCGGAAAAGTGGTCGCCGGGATATGGATTACCGGAAGTGGCGATGGCAACCTCAACATTGTCAACTTCCAAGGTAATAATATTAAGCTTGTTTGAAAATATTTTATATTTAGGTTAATTAATTACTATTGCATATATGTTCCATGCTTTATTATATTCATTTTTAAAAAATACATATTTTTTTGTCTTTCTTTCTTGTATGGTTTTCTTTGTTATAACCATAACGTCACCTTGACTAATTCCACAAAGTTAGTGGTGTACATGTAGTGAAGGGTGACCAGTTGAACACCCTTTGTCATACCTTGACTAGTTCCACAAGATAGTGGCGTACATGCAGTGAAGGGTGATCAGTTGAATACCTTTTGTCATACCTTGACTAGTTCCACAAGATAGTGGCGTACATGTAGTAAAGGGTGACCAGTTGAACACCCTTTGTCATACCTTGACTAGTTCCACAAGATAGTAAAGGGTGACCAGTTGAACACCTTTTGTCATAATTTTGAACACTCTTAATGAAATTTCTAGCTTCACTACGGCCACCCATCAAGACTAAAAAATACATGGAAAAAACCTCCTAGTGTTTTGTCTAACGGAATTGAACTTAAAATCTCATACAATGTACTTCATTGACCACTCGATTGAGTTTCAAGTTGTGCAATGTTAACCTTTGAAAAATTCTTAGTTTCGTTAACAAGAGATGAATATAATAATAATTTAATGATGAGAATGACAATGCATGTATTGTAATATATATTTCTTGAACTCCTCTCCTTCCCTCAAAATAAAACTACAATATTATTTTTCTTTCATATATACTAAAAGTGTTGTGGAATTTGAAAAGGTAACAAATTGAGAAGGACTTTTAGCTACCTTAGAAGTTATGTCAATGCAACAAATGGCTAATTCACAAAGCAAGTGTATGTGGCTCTTTTTTTTTTATGGATATATAGTGCTTTCATGTTGTTAGAAATCATGAGGTGTGAAAAAGTTGTAGCTTTATGATTACATTCACCTTCATTTGTTATGCCTTTTCACACTGAGTGCATATTACGATCATTGCCAAATGGATCTTAATTTTTACAGTTTACTAATGTTTTGAGTGTGAACATTAGTAATTGGGTTGCTAGAGGCAACTTTGGCAATGATATTGGGCAAATCGTTTGTCTGACTTGGATATAGTTAATTCGGAGAATCACGTTTGCAATAAATTTTAATATATGGAAATTAAATTCTGACCCGTAACTACAAACAAAATATGAAGAAAGAAGAAGTAATAAACAATGTAGACACAATTATGATTCTTTTTTCTGAATTTTCTTTTTATTTCTCTCTTGATTCTTCACTTTGCATTTTCTTTGTGATTCCAGATGTGCTTAATTCTTCTCTTTGATATTTCTAAGGTATGTAGGATGATTTGAACCTCCTTAAAATTCATTTCAAAGGCCGCTTTATTTTTCTCTTTAAATTTTCTTCGATATTTCCAAGGTCGGGTGATTTAGACCTCAACGAGGGTCTTGTGATATGATTTGGGCCTCAAGGAAGATTTTGTAATCTACTTGAAGTATTTGAATGACAAGTAGAGTCTGGTCATATCTTGATCTCTTTAGATCGAAACGTCAATTCTAAGAAAAACACATTATCCTTTGCATAGACATGAACTAGAGTTTAGAAAATTTTGGATTTTAAACTACGGTTCTTTGTGAGTAACATTTTATTATTGCAGGTTCAATGCAAAGGATTTCCTCGAACGTAGTCGAAATGGTCAAATAGTGTTTGCTGGAGATTCAATTGGAAGAAACCAATGGGAATCTATGATATGTATGTTAGCACAAGGTGTATCTAACCAATCCACCATATATGAAGAATTTGGAAACCCCATAACCAAACACAGAGGTTATCTCTCTATGAAATTTCAAGAGTACAACCTTACTGTTGAATATTACAGAGTACCTTTCCTCGTAGTCGCTGATCGTCCTCCCGCGAATGCATCGAAAGAAGTGAGAGGAGTGATCAGACTTGATAAGCTGCACTGGTATTTCACAAAGTGGGTTGATGCAGATGTAATTATATTCAATGCTGGACATTGGTGGAATGAAGACAAAACTATTAACATGTATGAATCCCAAGTGCTTTAGCAATAATCAAATATTTCTGGATTCTTTGACCAGAAGAACTTCACCAATCACTAACATTACACAAATGTATTGCAGGGGCATCCATTTCCAGGAAGGAACAACGGTGAACATGACGATGAATGTTGTGGAAGCTTTTCAAAGATCCTTGAATACTTGGGCGTCGTGGGTGATTCAAAATACCAAGCCTGAAAAGAGTCACATCTTCTTCCGCAGCGTTTCACCAGTACACTACAGGTAAGTACTTTGTAGGAACTAATCAGTTGCAACACAAATACAGTATACTAACTGACGCTAGTGGAACTGAATTTGGTTAAATTGATTTGCAGGGATGGAGCTTGGAATGAAGGTGGCCATTGCCACACAAATACAGCACCAGAAACAGACTATACCAAGCTGGAGAAAGAGCCAGCCAACAATATATTCATTTCTGAGGTAGTTGAGAAAATGCAAAATACAAGAAGAAACATGACCTTCCTAAACATCACATATCTAAGTGAGTTCAGGAAAGATGGTCACCCTTCAGAATATCGTGAACCTGGCACCCTGGCTGGTGCACCACAAGACTGCAGCCACTGGTGCCTACCGGGAGTGCCAGACTCTTGGAATGAACTTCTTTACGCCTATCTACTGTTGAATGGATATAGAACCAAGTTGAAATGAATTTGCAGTAGCACTATGTGATTAGCTGTTTTCGTATGCTTTATAACCTGGGCTATTCATCAGCCTTTTCAGTTGGATTCACCTCAGTTTCCATTTCCTTGACTTTCTTAAGCTGCCTTAGGAGGTCTAATCTGTCTGGTCCATACGTAGAAGGTATCTGCCAAAAAGGAAATCAACCGTTAACACAGCAGATAGGCTCACTAAAATAGACAGGAAATTCATGATCAACTACACACCAGAGATGGCATATATCTTTGAATTGCAGCCAAAATAGCAGCATGCCCAACTGCTGTAACCTGCAAGAAAAATTATCCCATGTCAGCTTGCACTGAATCAAGCTACACGAGTAAAAGAGATGCTGCAATCACGTAGCAGGTGTGGAAGGAGAGAGAGAGCTTGAGCTTTGTTCAAATGGGCTATTTTTCTAATTGCAACTCAGCGGAAGACCTTCAAACTAGTTGATTGGGCATCAACAACTATGCACTTATTGTTACTAATAGCTTCATTGCACTTAGTAATATATTATACAAGCTTGAAAAACCATGACGCTCGGGGAATAATCAATGGGTTTCATTGCCAGTTAAAGGTCCATGTCTTCAATTACAGTTAATATCCTCAGTTCAATACAGATCTTGGACATGCGTGACAATGAAACTGTTTAAGAAACAGAAAATAAAAATAAGCAGAATTTCAATCTTTTTGGAATATGAACTATCGCTGTCTAATCAGCAAGTTCTGTGGAGCTTGAACTTTTTTGCCTGAAAAAGAACAATGGAATAGAAGTATAGAACTACTTACAGGGAGAAGCATAAGAAATCCAATAGGTACGACTGATGCCAAGTCAGTAAAAGTTCTCCGCAATGCTTGCTTCTCTTTTTCTGTCAACTCATCCCCTACTATGGACCTCCGAAGTAGCCCTAGAGCTGCAGCAACATCGATAGCGAGAAGCTGAGTTCCTTGCAAAACATCCTGGACATGGAAAATCCTTATTACTCTATCTGAGAGTCTTAATAGACAACTATGAATTCTTACTACAAACTGCTCCTGAAGATAAGATGCTGAGTCATGGTTTCCAACAGAATAGTAAGACATGGAATCAGGAATACATGTGTAGTGTAATCTCTAAACTCTAAATTATAAACTCTACTTTGAATGCTTATAAGAACTCTGCTCCCTCCACGTACAACAATAAAGACCCAGAACAGGAAGGTCCGGACCAAATGGAGGCAGATAATCAAAACACACAAAGTACTATAAAAAGAAAGAAGAAAACGAGCACTAGCTATAAGAACAAGAATAGTCGATTAAAAAGTAAAAAATTATCTAATAGTAATAAGCCCATGGAGGAACCCAAACCGAATGCAATTCCATACATATTGATCGAAGTTCTCTTTCTTAGACAATTAGTGGAGTTCAAAGCTAATTAAATGGGCCACATGTCTATCCCCATACCCATGTTATTTTCTCAAAGGTAAACCCACGAAAATGAAGTTACAAAGCAAAGGAAAAAATCACACTATGACTCTATTCAGTTGACATATGATGCAATACATAAAACAGAAGAAAATAGATCAAGAGCATAATACCGTGCTAGTTTCTTTCAGTTTGTCCAATGATTTCTCAATAACACTCTCTTTTTTCTTCTGAAGAACCAATTGAGTTCTTTCAGCTCCTGCAGAATGTTTGGAAGTGCGATCTGCCTTCTGACTTTCCTCCTAGAGTAGAGTGCATCAACAACAAGCTAATAAATTTTCAGGGATATAATAAACAGATCATGTATCTCAGAAACATCACTCTCTGGAAAAAATGGAAATATATAGAAAATGAACTCAAAACAAATGAAGTTGGGTCATTGATAATTATGGGATTCTAACAAAATATGATTACAGAACTATAAGATTAGAACTCCACATAGAACATAAAATAAGAGTATCAATCTCTACCTACGTCTTATACACATTAAACATGGAAGTTTTCTTTGACTTAGAAAAGAATTGGAAGTTGAACCTCTTACATAAGAGTTTGTCCATTTATTTTATGGGAATCAATATTGACAATCTTATTAAGCATAAAATAAGATGATCATAATTTTTCCACTGTTCAAGTATTATCACAACAGTAGTTACAAATAGACAGAAATAAAGATTATAGAACAAAAAATCAGTTTTTAATGAATATATTTTACTGCTTTCACAAGCAAAATAATCCATGTTCAACAAGATGAATGGAGTGGACGGATATATGTCAATTAACAGGACTACTTATGTATCATCATTATTCGGTTAGTTGTCATTATAATCAGTACAGCCTAAAAAGTTTATACTGAAATTGGAAGAGTAGAGTCTCAATAAACATTAACAAACTTCACAATATGGAACTTGAAAGAGACAAAAAGAAAGCGAAATAAAAAGACAGTGCATCTTACAACATACTCGACACAGGCCTTATACAGCAGTTAGAAAATACCTCCTCATATTCATATTGATCAGCACTTCTTTGAACCCGCTTCTCCAGTTCCATTAGCTCACTCCTTAGTAGTTCAAACCTTCGAACTTCATTTGACTTTGAATCCATAATGCCTGTACTCTCTGATGGTTCATCATCACCCTGCACTTAAAGAATGATTCTCAGTGACTTGGAAGATAAAATCATCTTTAACAAGTTTACAGAAATTTGAATTATAGAAGAAATTGAACAAATGACCAGCGTAAGGAGGAGAAATCATGTGCAACAGTGACACGGAGGCAATTTCATTAATGTGCAAGTAGTCTCAAGAAGAGACAGTATGCAGTAAAAGGGTTACACAAAGCAAGATGTCACTGCTTACATTTCAGGTGAACAGAATCATCAGAAAAAGTGATATTTGCTCCTTGCTTGACAACTCTTCACTGAACCATGTTATTACTTGCTTTCCATAAAATTACACAGGTTTCCAGTGATCCATGCTTCAGTTTCTCTAATGAAAAATCTAACGACAAATTAAGCTAAAGTCTTGAATTGCGAAAATATTTGCCTAGTCAATAGTTTGAGCAATATGGAATATCTTTTACACAGACTGAAGTTCTAACCCACCCATCTCATTCACCAAACAAAAACCAAAAGCAAGCATTTCCAGCTTCTTGAAGTACTGAAACACGATGGGTAGTTTACATCACCAAAAGGAGAACTAGCCATGACTAACGAGCTAATCTATCACTAATGGTTGATAACAAGCATTTGAGCATGTATCTGAACTTTGCATTATTTGTTTTTAATAAAGGAGGTGTCCAAGACAACTTTCTTGCACCTCGATCATTCCACCGTACTCGCTAACTCCAACGTACCAGGTAACTCTGTCCACTAAAGCTTACGCAGATAGGAAAAAATCACCTAACATAGTTGTCTCTCTGCTAATATTTAACCCTTGGGTTTTTAAACTTCGTCCACTTTATTGACCACTAAGTCACACCCTTGAGTCATAACTTAACTTTTTTTTGATAATGTGAGTCATACCTTGACTTCGCATTATTTGCGAGTTCAAAGTAAGCCCATTTATTTATCCAGACTGAAAGTTAGAGCAATATGAAGTAATTAATAGTTTTTGACCCATCTCAAAGTTGCATGTGGAGGGGAAAGGAGGTACCACTCCATAGCATGAAATCAAAGTGTAAAAGAGGCAGATCGATGAATGGTGTTACTTGAGAATAACCTCAAGTTTGGTTCTAGTATAAAAGAGCTAAGAGAAGGACAAAATGCTCCCGCTCTCCAAATCATGAATTCAAGATGTAAAACTAATGAAGATGATGAAAACGGTATATTTAAGAATAAGCACAAAATTTGGTTCTTCTACAGACAGCAAAGGAAAGGACTATGTTCTCTCTCTCTCACACATACAACCACAGGAATAACTTATGCATAGAAGAAACACTTTTTGCAGAGAACGGGCAGTGCAAGAGACATTAGAGAAGAGAAAGAAGGAAGCAGGTACGTCCTTTTACTTTCACAAAAGATGAATAAATCATTAAAACAAATCTATCCAATCCCTTTTGCAGATCAAAGAATGATATTCATCATTTCACTACTTATTAGTATTGAGAGCCATAAAACATCACTCTAACACATACATAATTGAGAAGCATGTTCAGTGTTCAAAATCTATGGCACTGCATTCATCTATCCATAAGGGAAAAGCAGTTATAGTTGGATTCAAGGGACATATCAATGTCATATAACTGCAAATTAGATGGTACATGTTGGTCAGAAGCTCTACAATAGTCTTTTAAAGGATAAAACCCTGGAAATGCCTGGAAAACCATACCATAATCTATTCAACAGTTTTTGATTTACCAAAAACACTGGGAAACCTAAATCATACAAACTATTCAACAGCTTCTGAACGTACAATAGGATGCATAGAGGAGATCATTTGCAACCTAGAAGGAAAAACTAAGAGGAGAGAAATGGAGCAACGTTAGCCCCTGTTAAGCATATTACGTAGTAAAGTATTATCAAACTCCCAATAGTTTGAGACCCAAAAGGCTTTGATCTTAAATTAATCAACGACATCCCAATCAAAGAACCTAACGAATTTGAGATCAGAAATATTACTGAAAACAAGGATTTGCAAACATAGATGCCAAACTTAAAAAAGAAGTCTAAAATATACAATGGTAAAAGACAGTTTAAAGGTATACGATATCATTAGGTGTCGATGATGCCTGGTCTACTGATTTGCTAGGTTGACGTCCTACAAAGCTCCATAATCCCTGTATCCTAGCACAAGAATCCACAATAATAAAATTATGTGTGTCGGGGGGAATTAGCATAATAACAACGCATAATATTGGTACTAAGGGGCATGCTTGGCCTTTATCTTCACAGCCCAAAATAAGAAAAAGAGGTGGGAATACCTGTTGTTCCCACTCCTATTTTGACCATCCTTGTTGTCCTTGCGTTTAGAGAACTGTTGCTCGTCACTACTTGATGATGTAGACATAGTAGCATCTTCCTCCTAGTTCATA